TCTATACTCTCCCCACCTCCTCATATTGATAGTCATTCTAGCTATTCTGGTAGATGTTTGCCAGTGTCTTCTTGTGATTTTAATTTGCATGTCTTTGATGACTTATTTTGGGCAGTCTTTGTTATTTGTCAGTTTAATATCCTATTTTGTGAAGTACCTGTTGAAATATTGTGCCAGTGTTTAACTGCATTTACTTTTATTCTTTATTTTATTCTGTACATAAAATGTTTTCTGAATGTGTGCATGCATACATGTTTATTTGTAGCTAATGTTTTCCTTTACCATTAGTGGTTCTTGTGTTTTAAATATAATTTACCCCAAGGTCATCAAGATATGCTTGTATATTATTTTTTTAGAAGCTTTATCTCCTGGAACTCATTTTTGTGTATGGCATAAGTTAGGAGCCAAAGTTATTTTTTCTATATGGCTGGATAGCCAATTTGTCCGGTTCCACTTAAATGATTATCTTTCTCCCTGAGCACTGCATTGGTATCTTTGTTGTGAATGAGGTGATCATATGTGTGTGTCTGTTTGTGGACCCTTTTATTGTCTAATTGGTCTATTTATCTATCTTTATCTAAACATATATATCTTTATCTATTCCTGCATAACAAAATATTATTGTACACAAATCATACTATCTTAATTATTATGGCTTTTCTGACTGAAAATTCTTCAAATTTCTTCTTCTGGATGGCTTTGGCTATTCTTAGATCTTTGATATCCATACATATTTTAGAATCAGTTTGCTGATTTACATTTTCAAACAATCTGTTGAGATTTTGATTTGCATTGCATTGAATACATAGACTATTTGGATGAGAATTTTCTCTGATTTAATTTTCATAATCTACAAACATGACATATCTCTGATTAATGTAGGGCTTCTTTATTTAAGAAATGTCATGTTGATTTCTGGACAAAGGTCTTATGAATTTTTTATTAGATTTGTTCCTAGTTATTTGATATTTTCTGATGCTATAGGAAATGGAAATTTTAAAATTTTCTCTTTATAATTTTTACTGCTAATATGTGGAAATACAATTCCATTGTGTAATACTGACCTTATGTCCAGTGAGTATACCAAATTCATTTATTCTAACATTTGATATATATTCTTTAATTTTTTAATGTAAAAAACATGTTGTGTCTTTTATTTTTTGAAGAGCTGAGAAACCTTTCCCCCAAAACCCTAAAACACAAGCATCCATATCTTATTGACTGCAACTGGGAAATGCCTATTCCCAAACCAGTCACCGGAGTGGTAGTGAAATTACTACGACCTGGTTAGTCCACACTACTATTTATATATCAGCTACACTGTGTTATAAATCAGTTTTTCTTTATTTTAACCACATATGTAAATATTTAGACATTAATGATTTTATTATAAGTTTGAACATCTCTGTTGGATTGATAATTGTGGAATATTCCTCCATCTAAATGAGCTGAAATTACAGATCTTAAATTTTATAAATTCTTAGCAATCAGGCCAGGCATGGTGGCTCAAGCCTGTAATCCCAGCACTTTGGGAGGCCGAGGCGGACAGATCACTTGAGCTCAGGCGTTCAAGATCAGCCTGGCCAACATGGTGAAACCCCATCTTTACCAAAAATACAAAAATTTAGCTGGGCATGGTCACACACACCTGTAATTCCAACTACTCGGGTGGCTGAGGCAGGAGAGTCACTTGAGGGGGGAGACTGCAGTAAGCCAAGATCACACCACTGCACTCCGGCCTAGACTTGGTCTCATTAAAAAAAAAAAAAAAAAAAAAAACACACCTGTAATCTCAGCACTGGCAGAGGCAGGTGATCACTTGAGGTCAGGAGTTCCAGATAAGCCTGGCCAACATGGTGAAACCCTGTCTCTACTAAAATTACAAAATTTAGCTGGGTATGGTGGTACACACCTGTAATCCCAGCTACTCGGGAGACTGAGGCAGGAGAATCACTTGAACCCAGGAGGCGGAGGTTGCAGTGAGCCAAGATCGCACCACTGCACTCCAGCCTGGGCAACACAGCGAGACTGTCTCAAAAAACAAACAGTAAATTATTAAGCAATGAGTAGTATGCTTAATATGTGAAAAATATTTGTGGCTTATTCAGGAATAACGAATTTTTTAAATGGCTTAGTTTATTTCAAAAATATACTGTTGATTATAAAATACAAAAATATCAGAATATTTAATATGTACATATATCAGACTTTTAAAAATAGTTGTCAATCACTGGTAAAATTGCTTGTGATTCAAATTATCTTAAACTTTTCTAAATTATCTAAATTCCGTACTGCAAGGTTTGCCAGACTTCGCACAACTGGCATTTTGGACCAGGTAATTCTATGTTGTTGGAGGCTCTCCTGTGCATTGAAGGAGTTGAGCAGGAAACTCGATGCCTATATGCTAAATGCTGGTAGAACTCCTCCTCCCCAATTATGGCACTCTTCAGACATTTTAAAATTTCCCCTGTGGGGCAAAATGCCCCTAGCTGAGAACAACCACTGTACTATGGTGAACAAAATTTTAATAACTAGGTAGATATAAAAATAAACAGATATAAATATAGATCAGTAGATACAGTACATCATGGTTTTTTTTAATATCGTAGCCATTTTCCTATGATATTAAAAATTTTTCAATCCCAGCACTTTGGGAGGCCGAGGCGGGCGGATCACGAGGTCAGGAGATCGAGACCATCCTGGCTAACACGGTGAAACCCCGTCTCTACTAAATATACAAAAAGTTAGCCAGGCATAGTGGCAGGCACCTGTAGTCCCAGCTACTCGGGAGGCTGAGGCAGGAGAATGGCGTGAACCCGGGAGGCGGAGCTTACAGTGAGCTGAGATCCGGCCACTGCCTCCAGCCTGGGTGAGAGAGCGAGAACCTCCGTTCAAAAAAAAAAAAAAAAAAAAAAAAAAAAAAAAATTTCAAAAACATCCTGTAACATCCTATATAAGTTTATTCCATAGGCATCTAGCATTCTCCTGGAAATTGAGGTTGTTTCAGATTTTTAAAAATAATTGATACTATAATAATCACCTTTGAGCATATAACACTGTGAAGATATAAGAGTATTTTTTTTTTAGAATTCATGCCTGGAGAGGAATTATGCATTTCATATAAGACTTTTTATATGTATCATCATATCATCAAATTTTCATCTTGGAAGGTGCTATGAATTTATAATTTTATCCAGTAGTATATATGAGAGCTTGTTTTCTTACAATAGCTTAAAACCTGATTAAACATAATTCTTTTCAGAAATACAGTAGCTATATTTGCTTAGTACAAGAGTGATATATGCTCACTGAAACCATTCAGAAGATGAAGTATGAAAAGAATGAAAAACCACCCTTTCAGATTTTTTTTAATGAGCACATAGATACATATATACTTTTAAATGGAACAGAGGCAAAGAGAAAGGAGAGGATATTGAAGGCAACAATGGAGTTAAAAAGAGGGGCTTCTTTAAAGTTTGAGATCTTCGAGGATAGCAAAACAGTAAGTAGAAGACATATGTATTCCTTTAAAGAGAGCAAGGATAGATAGGAGCATTTTAATTATTACTAAGTCAGGGACCATGACTAAGGCCCACGGAGATTCAAGAAAGGAGGAAAACTCTCAGAGAATAGACTGAAATGACTCCCAAGAGGAAAAGTGGATCCATAAAACTGGTGAAAGTTGACCTACAGAACAAAGAGAATAGCTATAAGTGGGGTTTATACCCCAAAATTTCAACTATACAGGGAATAGTAGTTAACATGGTCATAACAGAATCACTGATTCCCACCATCTTCCTGATCTTTTCAATGGAGCAAGTTTTCCCTGTTTCAGTAAGTGGCACCACCATCCATAAAAATATAGGATTCATCATTTACTGCTGTTCTTCCCTCATGATCTCACAGCCGTTCAAGTTTCCAGCTGAAGTCCCAGACATCAAGGAACACAGACAATCCATCCCCACTGTGTACTGTCTGAATTCTAGCTCTACAAAATCCATGGAAATGTTAAAATGGATGTTGTTTCATGACACTAAATTGTGGAATAATGATGAGCAGACACATTCTGTTCATTTTTCTTCTTCATTTATGTCCATCCTGTATTTTATCAATATTTTGTTTTCCACATTCCATTCTTATTGAATTCCTATTCCATCCTTCATAAACCATATTCTGTATTTCATTCTAAATTTCATTCTATTCCGGTATTTAAAAATCTATACTGCATGTTTCATAGTCCATTTATTTCAGGCCATTGCACATTTTGTTCCATTCTATATTCCTTCCAATTTTGATTTCCTTTTATTTTCTTTAATATTTTATTTCATACTGTATTACACTCATTCCTTTTCTCATATATTTTTCTTTTATTCCATATGACATTAGATATTTGTTTTCATTTTCTGTTCCATTTCATTTTCCCATTAAATTCCATTAAATTTCCAATATTCCATTTCACATCCTGTTCAAACCTGTATTCTACTCCCCATTTTATTCAAGTTTCCATTGCAGTCTCCATTTCATCCCATTCTGCATACCATTTCAAATCCATTTTCCATACTATATTATTTAATACTCCAAATAGCATTCCATTCTATTTTTGAGTTGCATTTCAGCCCAACTGTTCACCAATTCCATTAAATATCCGATTTTATTCTGCTCAAAATATTATAACAGCGACATTCAGGAGACTAGTTTGTCAATATTTTTAATCAAACAATTACAAATGTGGCTGGGCACAGTGGCTCACGCCTGTAATCCCAGCACTTTGGGAGGCCGAGGCGGGTGGATCACTTGAGGTCAGGAGTTTGAGACCAGCCTGGCCGACATGGTGAAACCCTGCCTCTACTAAAAATACAAAAAATTAGCTGGGCATGGTGGTATGCACCTGTAGTCCCAGCTATTCAGGAGGCTGAGGCAGGAGAATCGCTTGAACCCGGGAGGCAGAAGTTGCAGTGAGCTGAGATCATGCCACTGCACTCGAGCCTGGGCGACAGAGCCAGACCCCACCTCAAAAATTAATTAATTAAAATAATTACAAATGTTCATAGACTTGTACCAAGAATTTCTCTTCTGGGAATTTATCCACAATGACACATTTAAGGATATGAACAATTTTTAATGAGAAGGATGTGTCTCACAATGATGTAAAATGTTGGAAACAGCATAAATGGTGGCCAATATGGGAATGTTTGAAAATGTAAGCTTCTTCTATAAACGGAGTATTTTGTAATTTAAAGTGGCCTTGTAGAAATTTGTTTACTGACATAGAAAGTGTGCTTTTTGGAACCCAAAGCAGGTTACAACGCAGTATCTATGGAGAAACTATTCCATTTCATAAAATAAAAAAGTTTAAAAACTATGAAATATGTATGAATGGCCTATCAACGTCTAAGTAAAAATTTCCAGCACTTGCCCATTGGGCATGTGAGGATTTAGGTGTAGTTTCCTTACATTTGCTTTTCTGTTTTGAGTACTGAACATGACACCTTTTGTAATAAATAATGACTAAAAATGAGTGGCCAAATATTAAACTTCAAGTCTGTACATTACAGCATATTTATATTAATAGGAGCTAGAGACCACGCTAAATAAATTAATATATGTTCATCAGCGGATTACTATGCAGCCCATACAAATATTTAAGGACGGTGTCACCCTTAAGCAATCCCAAACTGTGCCTTGGGGGAAAAGGCAGGGAGAAGCATCTGACTGGAAAGTTCTAAATCCCCCTCTGGTGTGTGGGACCTGAGGGAAGCAGCAGTGCTGAACATCCAGAGCCAAGACGGTGTGGGCCCCATCCCTCTTCTCGCCTTCAGGCCTCTGTGCAACCCTAAAACCCACCAGACCCCACATGGGGTCATCTAGATGCCTGGAGGAGTTCCAGGGTGGTCCCCTCAGGCATCGTGCCTGGGTTCATTGTCCTGACCGGGTGCAAGGAGGGACACCTGGCTAGGAGATATAACCTGCCGGCCAGTGTGGCATTTCTTTCAAATGACCACTTAAGCCTCAGCCACGATTTGGGGTGACTCAAATCCTTCATGTAGAACACACACACTCAAATCGTTCACATAGAACACACACACATGTCTTAGGGGTGGACACACATAAACAGGTGTCTTAGAGGCCCCGTGTGAGGAGAGGAGATTCACACTATTGACCCAGTGGCCAGGCTTGACCCCAGAGGGCTGGAGCACACACTGCCGGTTGACGACAGGCGCCTGGCTGTGGGTTGCACGGTTCCGGATTGGACGGCTCCCGGGAAGAGAGGCGTCATCTGACGTCCAGCTCGCCAATCAGAGTCGAGGACTTGCCAAGCTCCGCCCACCTTCTTGCTCTACCACCTCGCGCTCTCCTCAGGCAGCAGTAGCAGCTGCGCTCCTCGCTCTCTGAGGCAGAACCTGGGGTTACGGCCACCCAGTCAGACATGGAGAAGGAACAGAAGCACCAGCAGGACAAGGTGCAGGGAGGGCTTAACAACAAAGCCGCCCTTGCCTCCGGGGATGCCTGCGGGACCGAGAATCAAGATCCTGCTGCTTCCGTCCCCACAGTCTCCAGCCAAGCATCTCCCTCGGGCGGCGCCGCTCTGAGCAGCAGCACAGCCGGTTCTTCCGCTGCAGCCGCCACCTCCGCCGCCATTTTCATCACCGATGAGGCCTCGGGGCTGCCAATCATAGCTGCTGTGCGGAGCGAAAGGCATTCTGACCTCCGGGACTGTCTCAGTCCTCACGAAGTCTTTGGGTGTGTGATGCCTGAGGCGGGCAGCCAGGCCGCTGTGGGACCCCAGAAGGCCACTGGCCACGCCGACGAGCACCTGGCCCAGACCAAGAACCCCCGGAACAGCCGTCGTAGGAAGCAGCCCCGCCGCAACCAGGCTGCTCCGGCTCAGAAGCCCCCAGGGCGGCGTCTGTTTCCTGGGCCTTTGCCGCCATCTTCTCCAGGGTTCCGGCCCAGCAGCCATCCCCGTTCCGGGGCTTCTACGTCGAGTCAGGCAACCCACCCAGGCCCTGCACTCCTAAGCCACGCATCTGAGGCAAGGCCTGCTAGCCAAAGCCGCATCACCCTGGCAGCTTCTGCTCTCCGCAGACGTGCATCTGGTCCAGGCCCTGTCATCCGACGCTGCACCACCCAGCCAGGCCCTGCTTTTCCACGCCGCGCCACTCATCTAGACGCTGCTCGCCTAAGCCCTGAATCTGCGCCAGGCCCTGCTCGCCGAGGCCGTGCATCTGCGCCAGGCTCTGCCCGTCGAGACCGTGCATCTGCGCCAGGCCCTGCCCGCCGAGGCCGCGATTCTGCGCCAGGCCCTGCCCGCCGAGGCCACACATCTGCGCCAGGCCCTGCCCTTCGCGGCCGCACAGCAAGGTCAGATCCCGCTCATCGCAGCACCAGCACGACGCCAGGCACTGGTCTCCCGAGCCGTTCCACCCAGCGAAGTTCAGCCCTTCTCAGCCGCCGCTCTCTGTCTGGGCCAGCTGATGAGAATCCTTCCTGTGGGGCTGGCTTACGAAGGCTTGCCTTTCAGAGCAGATCAGGCTCTCCTGATCCTGAGGTCCCAAGCCGTGCTTCCCCGCCTGTTTGGCATGCAGTCCGTATGCGTGCCTCCTCACCCTCACCCCCTGGGAGGTTCTTCCTTCCCATCCCTCAGCAGTGGGATGACAGCTCCTCCTCCTATGCTTCCAACTCCTCCTCCTGCTCCCCGAGTAGGTCTCCTGGCCTAAGCCCCTCTTCCCCTTCCCCTGAGTTTCTGGGCCTGAGATCTATCTCCACTCCTAGCCCTGATAGCCTTAGGCGTGCCTTGATGCCTGAGTTTTATGCTCTGAGCCCTGTCCCTCCAGAAGAGCAGGCAGAAATAGAGAGCACAGCTCACCCTGCAACACCGCCTGAGCCGTGACCCTCTATGAGCATCCTGTAAGACCCACAGAAGGAGTCAACATCTACCCACTTTGTGAATGGGCTGCTTGCCCTGTAGTTACCTGCGAGGTCTCCCAAAGTTCCAGCCATTAACCAACATTCTGAGTAGTTTTGAAGCCTCTCCTCCCCATGATTCCACCACCTAGCACTTACCTGCTTTTGGCCCTTGATTCTGGGCCACCCTCTTCCTCAAAAGTTTGCCTTAGCCCTTGAGCTGAGATTTCTGTTTTCCAAGTTGCTTTTCTGTTATGAAATGTTTTAATTAGTAAAATAAGTTGTTTTGTTTTTAAAATGTAGAGGTGTGTTTTTTTTTATTGCGGTTCGAAAAATCGTTAATCCTATATCATATTTGGAGGGTTAAAGAAAATTAACATACTACCTGACTCTTTGGACGAGAGAAGAAATAAAATACTGTCCTAGCAATAATTTATTCCCACTGGCCGAAATGGAGTTCTGTGCAGGAAGTTCCCACTTAGGTTTTATATACCCTCGTAGCAGAGGTGATTTGCAACTTGGGCAAGAAAAGGGGGCAGGGTTTAACCCAGGTGGCTGGAGAAAAGGAGGGGTGATGGAGACATCCAGGGTCAGGAAAGGAGAGGGCATGATGAAGTTTGGGGTGAGAGGGAGGGGGACGATAACCTAGATGGGAGTAGGGAAGCTGGGAGGAAGATCCAGAATCAGGAAATGGAGAACAGCAGGAGTCAGAAGCTTGAGAGGGAAACATCTCAGATTCTAAAGGATAAAAAAATGTTTATGTGTGGGGAACGGGCTCCTGAGGTCTTTGGGGGTGGGAAGAATGTGGGAGGGTGATTCAGGGCTAATAATTCATGGGAAAATGGTCAGCCATTCAGTGAAAATGCGTGTTAATCAATACTGTAACAAAAATAATTGTAACTGAGTTTGAGCAGATATGTGAGGGTGTGTGTGTGTTTGTGTGTGTGTGTGTGTGTGTAGACATTTGGAGAGAACTACATGGGCATATGCCATGCTGTGAACAAGGTGTATATCTGTTTTTTTTAATAACCGGTGATATGGTCTTCTATAGTCGACAAGTTCCACATTGACCACATAACTATTTTTGTAAATTAAACTCAGCTGTTTTTCAAAAAATTTAAGCTGTAGAAACATAATAGGAGAGACCACATTAAAAGAACAGGGTGAAAAAATGTAAAGCAAACTAGCAAAAGAAACTCCCTTTCCCTCCTTTCTCATATTTCTCCTCTCCTTTGCTATTCTGTTATGTGAACAGTACAGGCATAGACCTGAACAAAAAGGGCCCTAGTCACAATTTGGAGGGTCCTGTTCAGGCCCTGCCCATGCTTTATTCACACCACAAAGCTAAGAGTCCACAGGGACAAGTGGGACCTATGCGCCCACCAGGTCCCAACATCCTGCCACTTTTATAGGAAGTGTTTCAGGTACCCTCATTCTTCAAGGCTGTTTCTAGGGCCCGCAAGGCCCTATTCTCAGGGTCCTTCCTAAGGAAAGAACACATATTTTAAAAGCTCTGACTTTGTTGTATTTCTTTTTCTCGAGTAATTCTAGATATCCAAAGACTAGGACAAAAAGCAGACAGTTTCAATGCAGCAAGTCACAACCTCCCAGTATTGGCGGGCCTACATTTATTCCCATTTCACAGATGTGGAAATTGAGGCTCTGAGCAATTTTGTGATTTTCAAAATCTCATACCTAATAGAGTTTGGCTTCAGAGTCAGAATTACTGGGTTTGAATTCTGGTGTTCCTATTGAATCACTGTGTGACCCAGTGCAAGTTAGTTAACCTGGGATCCAAAGCTTCTGCATTTGTGAATTGGGCACAGTAAGAGTGCACGCCTCCAAGATTATTGTAAGGATTAAAATGGATGGTGCATATTAAGTGCTTCCAACAGTGTCTTGCACATCATAAGTGCCCAGTAGAGATGGTTCTTATTCTGATTAGAATTATGATCATGTGTCCAGATATTTCTGACAGCCCCTTAACATTTTACTAGTCTTTCCTAAACACCAATACTTTCAAAATCAAACTGGCTGTTTCAGAAATAGGAAGGGACATTCTTTATTGTACTTAGTACTTCAAAATATGAAGGCATTTCCACAAGCTATTGAGCAACATTTTCACCAATACCAGAGACCACTGTGCAAAAATGTAAAAAAAAAAAAAAAAAGGATTGAGCCTCGGAGGTACAAACTCTAGGAATTTAACAAATGTATACTTGCAGCAGTTACATGAATGCTTCTGAGAACAGCAGTTTTCCTCCCAGCATTATTTGTATCTTAACTTGTTTAAAATATTCATTTTAACGAATGAATGGAATACATCAAGGATTAACATTGACTGCAAGTTGCCTTTATACAATACCTGGCATGCATGATATAACAGGTAAAACTCATAGTATGCTTGTGTGTGTTAAGTACTGTTTTAACGTTTATACATACACTAACTCATTTAATTCACAGAACAACCTTAGGAAGTAGATGTTCATACTGAGCCCATTTTATAGATGAAGACATTGAGGAACAGAGGTTACATAAAATATAATATGAAGGAAAGACACATTGAACTGTGGACTCTGTCATGGCCCTCTTGCGAGGTTATTAACTTCTTTTGTGAAGTAAATTGCATGATATGCCCCTGCACAGGGTACTACTGTTTTGCCAAGTGTGAAGGTAATGGTTTGGGCATATTCATCTGCTATTTATTACGAGAAATGGTGTTGGTTTTATATTGTGTAAATTTACTCTATCAACCTAAACTTCATATGGAAGGTGAAAAATTCTAGCCCAACCACATTAACTCATTTCACTCGTGAAAATATTCATAGGTGGAGGTTGTAATTGATTGTGTAGGAAAGGCTTATCTACCTAGAAGCAGGAGCCAGTTTAGAAAGTAACAGCAACATTACAGGCCTTTCCTAGGAATTTGTGTGCCCTGTCTGTAGCTTTCCTATGTGTTTCCATGTCTAAGTGGTGTCCAATCCCCAGAAACAGCTGTGAACTGGGAAAGAGATGGGGCTGAAAGGCCCATTTCAGAGCCCTGCACTCCTCACAGCTGAGCACAGCTTTCACCCCAGGATTCCTCTGTGGGGAACACGGAAATACCTGAAAATCCTTCAGCTGCCTTTCCCTGGAAGTTGCCACAATCAGCTACTATACTGAACAGGGCTGGTTTTATAGGCACGTGACCTGTGCAGTTGCACAGGCCCCTGCTTGTTTTAATGATGTGTTGTTGCCATCTTAATTGCTTAATGATTTTTGAACCAGTTGTCCCACATTTTCATTTTTCACTGGACTTCAAAAATTATATAGCTGATCCTAAAACTGTTTTTAGTACTTAAAAAAAATTTTTCTAGCAAACAGAGCACCAGGAAGTGTAGCTGGTGGCTGGTAATAAAAACAGATGACATTGTCATAAGAGTGAGCTTAGGGTAATGCAAACTGCATGAGACACGGGTTGGACAAGCCTAGGCTTGAAATTTGCCCCATCTCTGCCTTGCTGTGTGACCTTAGGTAAGGTTCATAATCTCTCTGATCCTCAGTTTCCACACCTGCAAATTGGGGATAATAGTATCTACTTCATACTAACAACCTCTGAGAGGAGCCTAGGCTAATCCTGTCTACCCATCCTTCTGGCTGTTGTTTAGGGTCCTTCCCCTGTGTTCCCAGAGCCTCTTGTTCTTACCCTTGCCAATGCCCTCATTACACAATTTTGGGAATTATATTTCTGTATAACCATCTTCCCACTAGACTATGGGAACTTTGATGACTTGGATAGAGCCTGGATTTTCCCTCTGTCCCCAGAACCTAGGGGCCCTAGGCCTTGGTAGGTGGAAAGAAGTATTTCTTGGCTTAATGGTAATAGTATAAGCTACATGCTTAATAAAGAATAACAACTAATTTACAAAATATGTGTTGGAAATAATATGTAAGAAGTGTGTAAACCCAAGATACTTCCCTACTTAAATTTTCTTCACTCAGGGCATGGCCTTTTATCCTTTTTTTCGGAACCATCAAGAGCCAGTGTTTTCCTGATATCTTAACTTCGTAGTGTAACTGGCACTGGCATCTTCTGTTACTCCCTCAGTCTCAGATTTGGCCTCACAGTGGACCTGCATTGGACACATCACTGAAGGCTTCCCAAACACAGTGTTATTGGTGCTAAATAGGCCCTCAAGAAATATTTGTTGAATAAATGCCTTGTTAGATTAATAGAAGCCAGCTAATTACATTATTTTATTTTATAGGTAAAAGGGTTCAATATCATTTGATCTTATACTGGCAAAATCGAGGACATGAGCTAAGAAGTCAGTGGAATTGTGAAGTTCAAGTGAGCATGTTCACACACACACACAAAGAGCCCACTCTCCCGGTGTTCTGTTTTTTCCATGACCACTCATTTCCAGTCAATTTCACTTTCTTCTCTCCTGTGTTCCATTTTCACATCAATACACTATACTGCAGATGCCATCAAATTCATCAGATACAGACTTTTATTGAGCTTCTCAGGTTGTGTGACTGCCTTCCCAAACAGAATGTGAGATTCTTGAGGGCAAGGAACATGCTATCTTGGTCATTACAAAAAACAGAATCCAAAATAATGCCTAAAATATGGTAGGAGTCACTGAATAGTTGTTGAATTAATTAATCTGTTGTGACACATATGAAAAAATATCTGCCTTTCATTTTGTGGATCGTTGTATAGGCACCATTATTCTACAGACACTATCTGTATAGGCAGTGTGTGTGTGGCTTTTTTATATCAGTTACCAGATGCATTCTGATATTCAGCTGTAAGGAATTGAGAGAGGATTATTCCAATTCTTCTTTCTACAGCATTTTTGTATAGTAAGTAGTACAGTTTTCAGTACACACCTTAAATAAGGATAGTGTTTCCCAAACCTCAAGCATTCTTAAGAAACCTTTAGGATTTCTTAAAATTTTCCTTATTTTTATCTTTCCCTTTCCTTTTTACTTTCTCTTTCATTATCTTTCCCTCTTCTCTTTCTCCCTCCATCTTTCCCTCCCTCTCTTCCCACTTCCCCTCCTTCTTTCCTTCCTTCCACTGTATGGATAGTCCACAATTTTTATTTATCCAAACACATTAATTGATATTCGATTTGTTTTCATGTTTGGGCTATTACAAATAAAGCTTCCATGAACACTCATGTACAGATACTTGTATAGACAAGCTTTCTTTCCTCTTGAGTAAATACCTAATAGTGAAATAGCTGGATCATGATAAGTATTTGTCTAACTTTTTAAAAAATGGTCAAATTGTTTTTCAAACTGTATGTAGAGT